TTAGTAACATCTGCTTTTATTATAATTATATTAGTCCTACGCTATTCTATTTTAGGCAGTGCCTTTAGAAATCTAGTTTTAGCTTTGTATAATAACAGATCTAGCCTTAGCCTTTTTAAATTAGGTTTAATTTTTTTTAATTTACTATAATACTTTTTTTTTACTTTTTACTTACTATATTATACTTTTTGTTATTTTACCTTCTATCTACTTACTATATTACTCTTTATGTACACATCTACTAGGGCTATTTTGCCTTCTAACTCTTCTATACATAAAGAGCTTATTAGGCTTATAGCTATTATGCTAAGTATTAAGTAGTAAACATTTATTTAAAAAATGCTTAATTAGCATTATATTATAACTACTTACTTTACCTACATTAATTATAGTCTAACTAGACAAAAGAAGAGAAGTATTAGCTACACCTACTTTAACATAAGCTACTTTTATGCTACTTTATTATATAAGCTAATTTTTTTATAAGACTAAAACCTTTATTATTTTTTTACTATTTTACTTAAGTATAATATTTTCTTTTTTAACTTTAACTATAACCTAGACTAGCTTTTTGTTAATAATAAAGATGTAATAAATTAGTATTAGTAAGGCTATTACTGCAGCCTTTACCTGCCCTATCTAGGGCAGCTTTAGTCCTAGATGTGGTTCCCCTTTACTGTTGTCTAGAAGTAGCTGCTCTAGAATAGACTAGTTTATAGTTAAGTAAGTAATTTACTAAATACTACCTAATTTTATTTACCTTATATATAAAACTATAACATAAAGCTTTTAAGGCTTATGTTTTATAATACTAAAGTAGTTAAACTAAAAAACTTATATTCTAAGCTTAACTTTTATTTCTAGTATACTCTTTAGCTAAGGCATAGGTGTGTAAGGTTAGAAAAATAGTACATATTAAAAAACTCTTCTTGTTAGGTTTAGCTTAATGCTTATTAGGTATATTATTTTAACTAGTCTTTAATCTTTTTTAATTATACTCTAAATTTATTATAATTTTAAATGCTTTATATATTATTTATTAGCATAATATTTTTAGTTATTACTAGAAAATTATAAGCTAGAGTATAAAAATACTTTTTTACTTTTAATAAAGTTAATATCTAGTTTTACTTTTTTTTTTTTATAAGCTACTATAATAGTAGCATGTTACAAAATCTCTAATTAGTGTAGATCTGTTATTAGGTAATTAGGCGCATAAATTAGGCTTATTAGCACTAGTTTAGTTAGAAAAGAAAAGCAGATAATTAATATTAAAAGTAAAAAAAACATTTTACTAATTAGATTAATAAAGATACTACTTACTTTAAGAAGTTAAGAAAGTTTATAAGTGTTTAGAGTTTTAAGCTTTAGCATTATTTTTTTAAAAGTTTTAATAATGTATAGCTACTAATTTACTTTATATTTATTATAGAAATAGTTATATATAGCTTATAATCTAATTATATTAGCTACTTATTATAAAATTATAAACACTGTTTTTTATGCAGTAGGTATATTATTATAAAGTTAATCTATTAACTTTAGCAAGAAAAGTGTTAGTAGGTGTAGTGCTAGAGCAAACTACTGCTACACTAACTTACATCTATTTAGAAAATAAACTAACTATCTAAACCTAGTAAACTAAAAGCAACTCTACTAACTCTACTTAATGCTTTTAGGGTCTACTTTAATTACTTTAGAAAAGATACTAATAATTATTAAGCCTATACTTACACTTTTTAAAAAATTTTCTTTTCTTTAGTGTGCCTTTTATAAAGATAGTTATATTAGTGTAGCCTAGATTATTTACTATAGTCTTAACTTTTTTTTTTTTAATATTGCCTAACTTTAACTAGATTAAGTGTTTATTATAAAATTATTTTATAGCTAATTAAGTCTTAACTTTTTTAATAAATAAAAAGTTAGAACTTAAAAAAGTGTTAGTAAAAACTTTTATATTATTAGCAGCTATAAACTCTTTGTTATTAGTATCTTCTAAGTTCTTATTTTCTTTAGATTAACTTTTAGCTATATTAGTGTTATTTATAGGCCCTTTTACTTTTTTTTTATTACTATTAGCTAAGCTTTTTTTAGCATTAAAAGCTATGCTAACATCTACTACTATGTTAAACTAAGATAATAAAGACTACATTACTTTACTAAGTTTTATGCACTTATCTGTTGTAAGTTTTATTATATCTTTAATTTAGTTTTAGACCTAACTAAACTAAAACTATAGTAATTTATTATTTATAAAAATTACTTCTTAAAATAACTTAATTATAATTAGTAGAGCTGTGTACATATTTTGCTGTATAAGCTAGGCTCTAGTCTTTAGAACTTAGTAACTAAATAAGTTAATTATAAAAGCTATAACTAAATTATAAAAAATAGTAGGTTTATTATAAATTAAAACTAAAGTAGCTTTTTAGGGGCTTAGATCTACCTTAGTTAAAGCTAATCTAAGCTCTTTTAGTATTAGAGTAGATGTTAGCATAGCTAGACCCTTTTATAAAGTAGGGATGCTTTTTAGAGAGGTAGTAATATCTTTAAGCATTACTTTTTTCTTTTTTAACTAATAGACTTTATTTTATTTAATAAATTTAGTTTAATTTACTAATATATATTAGTATTTAGGTATATTTTATTTAAAAAGAGAATAACTTACTTTAAAAATTATAACTTTTACTTTTTATACTATAGTAATAATTTATATAACTATAGCTAAAATAGTTAGAGATATACACATAGTAGATAAACTTACTATTTTTTTTAAGTATTTTTAGTAAAAATTCTATAAGATCTAACTTACTATAAAGGCTACTAGTGCCTTAGCTGCTTTAGAGTGTGTAACTTTAATTAAAACTAAGTTAAAGCTATTTTAAAAAAAATTAACTTATATATACACTATAATAATTTAATTTATTTACATCTTAACTAACTTTAAATAAGCTATTATAACTTTTATATTTAGATCTTTTATAAACTTAGAGCCTATTAGGCGCCTAAAAAGTCCTATTATCTTTATAGTAGTTTAGACCTCTTTATATAGTAGCTTTAAATTAATAATTTTATATAAATTAGTGTTCTTTATAGAAGAGTTAGACTACTTAAATTTACTGCTTAAAAGTTTAAGCTAAAGTATAATTTTTTTTTTTTTTTTACTTTTAGTTAGCTTTAACTTAGCTTTAGCTAAATTTATTTAATAAAGTAAAATAATTAGAGTTAGAGCAGGTAGGGCCTAACCTATGCTATATCTATAATGTCTATACTAGGAATATAGTAGCATAAACTGCTGCTAGAAAGAGTACAGTCTGCCTAAAGCAAACAGAGGTGCTTTATGTTAAGGCTACTAGGTGTTCTAGTACAGACCCTAAGCCTGCAGATATTAACTCTAGGCCTGCAGATATAGACCTTGCAGTGGCAGATATAGTCTGTAACTTAGCTAATAAGTAAATTACTGCTAATATTCTCTATAGCTAGATATAAGTTAGATATAAGTAAAAGTAAGCTATAAAAAAATATTATTAGTTTAATTTTTTTTTAAGTTATATTAATTTAAATTAATCTAAATTTACTTATACTTTTACTATACTATTGCTAGCTTTAATCTTAGCTGCCTTATAAGCTGTACAGTCTAGTCTAGCTAAAGGCGCAGGCAGGCACTGTCTAGTTTAGTCCTGCCTGCAATGCTATTAGACTTAGGTAAGACTATGTGTCTTCTAGTTAGGACGTATTAGGCATAGAAGGTAAAAAAGTAGGTCCTAATAACATGTTATTTAATAAAGTAGGTTTATTATTATCTAGCACTTTTATTTTTTCTAATTAGCTCTAGATTATAACATGTATAAAGTAAAACTTACTATTACTATTAGCACTAGCTTTTTTAGCTAAGAGGTTCTAGCTTCTAGTTAGGCCTTTACTTTAAAAATTAATAATAACCTTAGTATTAATTTTTAGTAATAAAGGCTTATTATTAAGTTATAACTAGTTATTATCTAGTGTTATTATAGTGTTATTAGACATAGTCTGCTATGTTAAAAGTAAGTAAAAAGTGTTAAAGGCTATTCTAATTAAATTTTAACTTAAAATGTGTAGATAGAGTAAGATATGTACTTATAGCGTTTTTAGCAGTTTAAGATTAGCTAGTAAGGTTGCACTGCCCTAGTTAGGTGGGTTGGTGGGCGTGGCAGGAGGAGATGTGAAGCTGGGTTGGTTAGATTGTTTATTGTGGCGGCTGTGCGCGTAAGCGAGCTGTTACGTAATCATTCCTAATTAGGACTAGCCCCCTTCTTCCTGGAAAGGAAGGCTAATCTGCTCGTCTCTTAGCATATCATTTCTAGAAGCGCTTCATTTGAAACCACGAATATCTTTGGCTAAGCAGCTACGTCACTGCTATAATATCATCCGCGCGCTTAATCTCGCGTAGTTGGCCTCGCCAGGCGCCTAATGTTGGATGAGGCGTGGCGTAGTTCGGCGATGCTTGCTACGCCGCACTCAGCTTCTGGAAAATAAGTCACTCTCGTCCTATGATAGCACAAGGCTGATTCTCCGCCAACCTTAATTTTACATGCAACGAAATCGAAAATAGAACCTCTCGCTTGGCCAACTAGAAAGGCGGCTAGTGAGAGCCAATATATCTCCTGACTTAGTGGTCTTGGCAAAATGCCAAGGCTGGCTAAGAAGTGCAACCCAGAAAGCTCTTTTCTCACAGCGGGTTGTAAAACTTCTTTCTTCACACTTTTCCCGGAACGCCGCATCATACATATGCACTTCATTACCGCCGTGGCATTTGGAACCCCGGCTCTGAGTTTTAATCCTGCCGTATTCGTTCGCCCTATCAGTCTTCCAAGATACTGTTCCCCTTACAGCGCATTACTTTCTCCCGCTACTCCTTAAGGCATTTTCTTCCGACTCGGAGACCGAACAGTTCCTTCTTATTCTGAGCGAAATTGAGAAGTCTTCTCACTCTTCATCATGATCTCTCCAGAGGATAGATTCTGGATTGTTGGTGAAGCTATTTGTGGAAATGTGCATAGAGGCTATATCATTGATAGGGATCAACGCCGATGGTATATGGTCTCCGGTCCAAAGAAGCTCCTACCGCCGGAGGAAGAGAAGGAGATTGTCGTTCTAGAGCGTTACATCAACCAGCTTCCTCACAACGCTCACGCAATCACCGTGGACGACAACGGGTTACTAGTTTCAGTATCAACAAACCCCGAAGATGATCCTACTTTAATTCCTTATTATGCGCGTTACTCGGACGCACCATCCCTTCAAGGCTGCCTTACTATTAGGTTGTCAAGTCTCACCGAATTGGATCGGCTTGGACCGGGTGTGGACTTCGTGAGTTATATTGACAGGGCTGCAACTCAAAAAGTGGTTTTCAAATACAGCATGATCGTTCAGTGGACACAGCAGATATGGAAGGAAATGCATCTCGCTAAGAGCTTCCGGCACCCCAACCTTGTCCCATTCGATCGCGTTGTTATAGACGACGTTGAATCGCGTGTCCTCGGATTTACTACAACATATATTCCCGGGGGCACCCTCGATCAAAAACGAAACCGCGTTTTCCTATTCGAGTGGCTACAGCAGCTTACCGCAGTGGTTCACTACCTAAACCTAGAGTTGGGTGTTGTACATCAAGATATAGCGCCGCGAAATCTTTTGATCGATCCTACGACAAACAAGATCCTACTATTCGACTTCGATCGTGCTGCTCCAGTCAGCCACACGGTTCCAGTGCGGAATGATGTCACAGGTGTGATATTTACTCTTTGCGAAATCATCACCGAGGACGGCCATCTTCGCGAAGTACCGTTTACAGAGCCGGATCCACAGCAAGTGCAGAGCCTCGAACAATGGCCGGTGCGATGCAAGCTCGATAGCGACGTCGCTCGATTCCGAAAGCATCTAAATGATTGGGTTCGGCAGCGGACATACGCCAGCCATGGCCCGGATCAAGTCAAGTGGCCCGACACGCCTCTTACATGGGCTCAGGAGGGGGCATATGGCAAACGACTCGACAAGGGAGCGAGATCCAAACAAAGTGGAATGAGTGTATTGTAAGGTCTAAGGAGCTCGATAGAGCTCTGAGCTGACTATATACTGTACGAGATAGGAGCTATGCCTAATGAGTGAATAGTGCAGTACATGGGTATGATATCGCGTGAGACACGTGCGACACACCCCCCCCAGCTTTAACAAAGTAAATACTAAAGCAAAGCTGTACAAAAAGAAGTTAGTAGGCTTAGGCTTTAAAGCTAATGTTAGTAGAGTAAGCCTTTAGGGCGTTACTTAGGCAGATAAGGCCTAGTTGTTTAATAAATGCTTAATGCTTTTATTAAGGTAAAAACTTAGTAAGGCTATTAGCTAGCATGTCTGTAGTAGGGATCTAGTGTATGCAAATTCTTCTTTCCTGTACCTCTTAGCAAAGCTAGTAGTTGTAAATGTTAACATGCTTAGGCTTAGTATTAAGTTTAAAGTCTTTTACTATAGCTTATATAGTTTGTTAATTATTGCATAGTAAAGTAAGCTCTTCTTTAGTGTTAAAGTTTATATTAGTAAAGAATTACTTCTACTACTCTAGGTAGCTAGTAGTGTAAGAGAGAGCTAAAAGCTTTACTTTAGTTATTAATTTAGTAACTAAGTGCTATAAAAAGGCCTTCTAATTAACAGCTGCGCTAAATAGTGTAAATAGCATGCTGTTAGAGCTGCAGTAACTAGCTTTATTATTACTATAAGCAGCATTTAATGCGCTGTAAAAGACAGGTCTTTAGGATAAATAAGTAAAGGTCTTTAAGTACTAAAGTGTATAGTCTTTAGTGCTGTAAAGGTACTTAATAACATGATAAGCAGCCTTCTAGTGTTTATCTAAGAAGTTAACTAGGTATTTAGAGAGCTTTAAATGTGCTTTAGTAACATTAGGTCTAATAGTAGTAGCAGCATAGCTAATAGAGCTAACGCGCTGCTAGTATGCTATAATCTTTTATGTGTTTATTTTAGTTATCTAATTAAGCTACAAAAGTAGTGCTAATGCATTTAGTAGAGTAATTAGCTAAGAACATGTGCAACTAGTATTAAGATTAAAGTAAGTAGCAAGCTGCTTAATGTATAACTTTTAGCTAAGCTATATAGTGCAGTTAACCTTATTACAGTTAATTTAAATGCTAAGAAACTAGTTTAGTTCTCTTATAGCTTAGATCTTATAAATCTTTATAAGCTTAATTTTAAATTAGTCTAGATGCTTCTTATACTCTAGTAGGTAAAGAATAATAATGTTATTAATATAGAAGTAAACTAAAAGCTTTTTATTAGCAAAAAGATAATTAACTTTAAAAACTTAAAAAAAGCTAAGCTTTTTAAGTAACTTAGTAAGTGTTACAATCCTTGCTTCGGGAAAGCACTTAGGTCAATGTTGTTCCTGGTGGGGTAGGACGGGGGGTAGGGGCTAACAGTAGGGTGTACAGTCCTACGTAAAGGCTATTAGGCTAATAGAGCAAGGTAGAGTGACTAGATTATAGTTTGCCCTTAAGCAGCAGTATAGTGGCCAGGTTAAACAGTCCTGTTAGACAGGGTTAGAGGTATACATAGTGTAGATATACAAATAGTATTGCAGCTTATTATAAAGCTAGAATGCTACTTAGTCTATGTAAAAAATAAACTAAACATTAAACACACCTCTTAAAAGTTATTTAAGGTTAGAACTATAACGTACCTAACAGGTTGGCCGGCCACACGGGTTGGCCGGCCACTTTTGCTAAGCCCCTACTAAACTCTACCTATCTACATAATGCCTTAACAACAACACTAGATTAAATCTTCTAAAGAATGTTAGATACAGCTTACTTTTTAGGCTCTTAAATAAGACTAAAAACTCTTTTTATAACACACTATAGCTATCTATAATGTCTTTTACATAACACTAAGTAATTAACGCGCTAGACAGCCTTTATAAGCAGAATGCTAGCTTAAATTAAGGAATCTAACTAAGCTTAAAAAAAAGGTAGTTATTAAGTATATACTTAAGCTTATTACACGTAGATTTCTCTCTAGGCTTATAGCTGTAGCTAATATAGCTAATTCTTTGCCTACAGAGTGTAATCTAGGCTAGGTTAGCTTAAACTAGCCTAGTATGTAAGTTAAGCACTGCCCTAAGTTTATAATAAAGTTTAATTATAAGTATAGTTATAAAAAAGCACCTTATAAAAATCTAGAGGTTATCTAGGGCTAGTTTTACCTAGTAGCTAACATAAAAGCTAAGTATAGTATCTAAGATAAAAACATGTATAACTTTAATAAGTTAGGCTTTATAATAGGCTAGATATTAACTAGAGTAGTTATTATAGCTTTAGAGAAATAAAGACAGCTAAAGGTAATATAGTAAAGTAATAAAAAGTAGATAATAGTTATCTTAAGCATTAATATAATAAAGTAGGTTATAAAATTATAAAGCTTTAAGCAGTAAATAAAGCTGCTACATAATATAGATTACATAAAAAAAATTTAAGTAAAAAAAACCTTAATAGTTAAAAATAAGGCTTATCTAACTACTTTAAAGAAGTTTAAAGCGTGTAGTAATAGGAAAAAGCTAAAGACATAAGTGCACGCTAAAAAAAGTAAGCTAAGTTAAAGGTAATACAAGCAGTGTAATTAAACTAGGCATAACTTACGTACATGTAAGTAAGTAGTAGAAGTAGACTCTAAATAATATCTTATGTTGTATTACTTTATATAGGGCTAAAGTAGGCTGTTTTACAAGAGAATAGGGTAGTTTTAGTAGGGGCTTAGCAAAAGTGGCCGGCCAACCTGTTAGGTACGTTATACATGTCTTTATAATATTAAAATAAGCTAAATAAGTTTGTGTAAGCCTACTAAGCGCAGCTCTATAAACTCTCTTAGGCTTGTTAGATCTATAGCCTACCTTCCTATTAGATAACACATTCTTCTATAACTGTAGGTAGCTACGCCGCTTCTGTATCCTCTAATTAGTCTATAAGCAAGCCCTGTCCTAACCTAATTAAATTGTGGAGCACTACTAGTAGAGTTACATTAGTCTAACCATAGACTGTAACACAATGCCCCTCCTTCCTAGCAGCGTCCTTACTGCTCTGCTTACACAACTGCGTTAGTAAAAGTATATTTATAAAGTAAATGTCTACCTACTAAAAGGCATCCTTAATATTTATCTTTTTTATGCTAAATAGCTTGTTAGTCTTATTTGTTCTATTATCCTTATGCTATTTCTTATTTTAATTCTTTTTATTAGACAAAGATGCAGCCCTACAGCACTTACTAGTTATTAGAGTTGTCTTATGTATTAACCTTATTATTAAATAAGTGTGTAGAATGTGTAAGGAAAAACAGCAAGTGCAACACTTTTATTTTAGACACTGCATAAAATTAGTTAGAGAAGGAGAAGAAGAAACTTCTTTAGAATGCTGCAGCAGCAAAAGCTTATAAGTAAAAGCTTAATAAAAAGATAACTTAATAGCTCTAAAAGTTAGTTAAGGCAAAGGCTAGGGAGCGTTCTAAATAAGATTATATCTAAAAATTACTAGATCTGTTAGAGGCTTAGCGCGCACAGTACTTAAAGGGGGACCTCTCCTCTTTAGACAAGATAGAAGCCCTTAAGGCTAAGGCAGAAGGTTGTCTATTTTTTTAACCTTCCTTAGTAGGGACTTGTCTCTAAAGGCTGCTGCTATCTAGTAATAACATAGCTACTTCTTTTAAGATAGGTGCTTTGTTGCCTAGCTAGTTTCTTTTAAATAAGCCTAAAGGTACTCTGATACTAACAGCTACGCGTTCTGCAAATTCTTAGCTAGTTTCTAAGTGTTTTTACTAGTAGGCTATCTCTTCTAGTTTACTAAGAACTTTTTTTTATTTTTTTAGTTACTAATAATGCATTTTACTTTATACTTAGTTTTTTTATCTTTCTATTTTTATATAGATAAAGGGATTTCTTTAAACGCTTTTTCTAATTTAGAAACATAGAACTATAGGTGTATTTTTATATTCAGGGGAAGCTTAAGCTTACAGTTATTCTACTAAGTCTATAAGACTTTATAGGGTTCTATCCTCTTTTCTGCTAGCTTCTTAGAGGGTCTAGGTATCTTAAGGTTCTTAGTTTTAAGGTACACATAGTCTCCTAGGTAAATTTTTAGTGTAGGTTGTTGTAATTTGTTTGCATATTGTTCTATTATCTTCTAACTAGATCTAGCCTTAATTGCTAATTTTTTGTGTATGTTTTTTAAGTTTAATAACTAGTTAATAGATTCTTAAAGATTAGTAGGTTAATTTCCTTATATTATAAAATAGGGGTTGTAGCTAAAATTTGCTTTATGTCTTTATAAGTTATTCTTGTTGCAGGTATCGCATTCTCTAAGCACCTTAGTGCATAGTTGTTTTACCTTTAGTATACGCTGTGGTATAGCAGCTTGTAGTTTTTTCTAGAGGGTGCCTATCCCTAGGTGTCTGTACATTAGAGACTTGTAATATTTGTAGATTAGGTTTTTCTATCCTTGTTTACTTACTGTAAGCATGTAGGATTCTTTAATAAGTTAGAGCTTATTATAAATCTATTCTTTCTTAGTTTCTTTAAAGAGGGTAAACTTCTTTATTCTTTTTTTTCTTTATTAAAGTAGTCTAGTTTGCAGCTAAGGGCGTTAGCCTACTAGTTTTGTGCGCCTAGGACGTGTTTAATAACGCAGTTAAACTAGGCAAGTTCTATTGCCTATCTTATGTGTATAGGTGATAGCTTTTTTACAGTTAGAAATGTAACTAAGTTTACATAGTCTGTTATAATGTAGAAGGGTTTTGCTATCCTGTGCAGTTCTGTTGCCTATACTTATACTACGTTTAATATTGCTTTTAATTCTTTGTTAGGTATACTGTAGCCTGCTTTAGGTCCTAAAAACTTAGCAGAGTAGTATGCTACTAGGTGCTATTTACTGTCCTCCTGTTTCTAGTAGAAGGTGGCGCCGCTTACTTCTAAAGACGCGTCTGTGTAGATCTTTGTATCTAGCTGTAGGTTGTACATCTTTAGTACTAGTTTAGTTATTATAGCACGTTTTAGTGTCACAAATGCTTTATTTATTTATAAAGTCTAGACAAACTTTACTGTTGCTCTTTTCTTAGTAGTA